CAATCCCAACTCGTCATGAGACCCCTTTTACAGAGTGGCACTGCCCCGTAGGGTCTCCTCCCACGAACCAATGGGGGAGTTTGGCTCACCCTATTTCAGATAGCAGCCCACGGCTTCACCTTTCCGCCACCAAGGCTCCTGTGAAACCTACTATGCGCTGCCCGTGTCTGCTTGTTCACCTTCCTTGCATACCAGTCTGCTCTCCCAAGTTCGACTCCCTCCGAGGTCGGGAAAAGAAGTGCTGGTAGAGCAGTCATGAGAGCATGTGCCTGCTGACCAAAGGGTCAAGCACATCAAAGCCACCATGGGAGAAAGATGTAACCATCTGCTTCTTAACAATCGGCAACCTTGGGAACTACGGGGCAGTTCTACTGAGTCTTACAGAGGCACTGTGGTGCAGAGGCACTATGAATCGGAATAGGGTTTGAGTTGGGGTCTAATCTGAGGGTAATTGATTCCTTGTGAGCTCTGACAATGGTCTGCATCACCCCTTCCAGTGCCTGTGCGCCATCTACTGTTCATTTCAGGTAGCCACAAACTATGCCAACCCTAGAAATGGTGATGCCGTTTTTTTCAACAAATCACTTTCATGCCAAAACAACAACAAAAATCACTGCCATGAAGTCGATTCCAAGTCATAGCGACCCTGCAGAACAGAGCAGAGCTGCCCCTGTGGGTTTCTGAGACTGTAACTCTTTACAGGAGTAGAGAGCCTCTTCTTTCTCTGGCAGAGCAGCTGGTGGTTTCCAACTCTTGACCTTGAGGTTAGCAGCCCAACGCATAACCCACTGGATATATTAAAAGCATACTGTCAGGCATGACTTTTTCCAAGGGTTCCCAAGACTCTGAAACTTGATTGCAGAGTAGCTAAAGCAAATGGAAGAAACAAGGGCATAAAAGAGCTGAGCAGACATTTTCCTAGGACAGCCCCAGAGAACAACATGAAGTATTATAGTGAAATGTGCATTTTCTAAGGATGGACACACTCAGCAGATCTTAAACAAAGAACTCAAGAAAACATGCAAGCCTCAAAGTGCAATATTGAAACATCCTACATGCAAAATATGGACTGTTGCGGGAAACACCAAAATAAGATGGAAAAAATATAGTTATAATACCAAAAAGAACTCGTCGGCATTCCACCATTTCAGGAGGTGGCATGTGAGCAAGAACCAATGGTATAGAAGGAAGAAGTTCAAGCTGCACTGAAAGCATTAGCCTGAAAGCTTTAGCCAGGAATTGACAGACTTTCCGATTGAAATGTTTCAACAAGCTGATGAAGCACTGGAAGCACTCACTTGTCTACGCCAGGAAACTTAGAAGACAGCTAGACTGACTGAAAGAGATCCATATTTGTGCCAATTCCAAAAAGAGATGACCCAACAGAATGCTCAAACTATGGAACAATAGCATCGATATCACATGCAAGTAAAATTTTGCTGAAGATCATTTGACAAAGGTTGTAGTAATACATTAACAGGAAGCTGCCGGAGGTTCAGGCTGGATGCAGAAGAGGACTTGGAACAAGAGACATCATTGCTGATGTCAGATGGATCTTGGCTCAAAGCAGGGAACACAAAGGAAGTATTTACTTGTGTTTTATTGATTATACAAGTCGCTTAACTATGTGGATCAAAACTAACTATGGATATCCTTGAGAAGAACGGGAATTTCAGAACACTTCATTGCAGTTATGAGATACTTGTACATGGATCAAGAAGCAGTTGTCAGAACAGAACAAAAGATTACTACATAGTTTAAAATCAAGAAAGGTATCCTCTCACCATATTCAATCTGCATGCTAATTGAAGAAGCTAGACTACATCTTCTTGAAAGAAGAAGAAAAAAGCATCAAGATCGGAGGGAGGCTCATTAACAGCCTGCGGTAGGTAGGCAGATGCTACAACCTTGCTTGCTGAAAACGAGGAGGACTTAAACACTCGCTGATTAAGATCAAAGATTGCAGCCTTCAGTAATGATGACAACTCAATGTAAAGAAGACAAGAATCTTGACAACTGCACCAATAGGTAACATCATGATAAATGGAGAAAAGATTGAAGTCGTCAAGGATTTTATCTTGCTTGAACCCACAACTCATACTCATGCAAGCAGCAGCCAAGAGATCAAACGATGCACTGCACTGCTGCACAAGACCTTGTTGAAGTGTTGAAGAGCAAGGATGCCACTTTGAGGACTCGTATGCTCCTGACCTAAGCCATGGTATTTTCCATCGCCTCAGATGCACATGAAAGTTGGACAGTGAATACGGGAGACTGAAAAAGAAACTGATGCATTTAAATTATGGTGCTGATGAAGAATATTAAAAGCACCATGGGCTGCCAAAAGGTCAAACAAATCTGTTTTGGAAGAAGTACAGCCAGAATGCTCCTTAGAAGCAAGAACGGCGAGACTTCGTCTCACGG